ATAATACACCCCTGCGTGTATGGATAATTTTTGGGGATAATTTTTATGCACATTTAATTACAGTAATATCAACAAAGTAAATTAAAACAAAAGTAAATATATTACAAGGTAATTACTGCTGTATTTGTAAAATAACCTATTTATAACAACAAAACTAATCTGAAATTTTGTGCTGGCTTCTGATTATTACTGATTATGGTGCCCCTACCTGGATATTCAGTGCTCCGCCCCTTCCATCGTTTGAAGACACGCCCCCTCTCTGTTAAAACAACAGAAATAACAAAACCTTGACATGCACCGCCCCTTAAAGCATTTCTAGACACGCCCCATGTGTCAGAGACCCTTCTGTTCGTTTTGTGTGGTTCTGGTAACACGCAGATCGTCCCTCCCTGTGTGTGTGTGTCGGGCTGTCATTGTGGGCAGAACCAAACGCACTGAGACGCTGCTGAGCTCTGCTTAGATCCAATGTTCAGTCCGCTCCGCACACCGACCAGGACCCTCTGTTACTCGCCGGGCTCGGAGGCTTCCTGCCCGCCGTAACGACACCACCATCGACGAGGCGCCGAGCKGAGGGGTAGACGTTACGAAAGGTAAGCCCGGTTCGGGTTTGTGTCACCTTCTCGCAGCGGAGCTCGGTTATTTTTCGGGAAAGTAAATGAGACAAGACACAGTGTGTGTCTATGCGTTTATATATATTTATATATGTGTGTGAGTGTGTGTTCTGTGGGCGACTTGTCATTGCGGTGATGCCTGTTTTCGCTGGTGGTCGAAGGAACAATCCGGAGAGCCACGAACTAGCTAACGTGAAAGCTAGCTTATTTACAGTCATTTTTTATTTGTTTTGGCTTTAATGGACGTTTAGTCACTGCATCGAGGAGCAGGGAGGACGAAAGAGAGGGGTCTCCATTGTTACAAGACGACAATCATCTTTAGCTAGCTTATAAATGAAAGCTACGGCGTCCTCGAGGGGCGAAAAAGACGGCTAACGGTACCGCGTTTTTAATCGATTATTTCTTTATCATGTRTTGTTAAGAAAACATGTTGACGACAAAATGCTCGGCTCTTTCTAAATGATAACTGTCAGCTCCTCTTTGTAGGTCTTCCCGTAAACCAAAACATGTTATTGGCGCAGATTTATTT